CACCCCCGCCACAAAACTGCAGGGCCCTCAAGGTCTATTTTGCACTGAACAGCCAGCATGGGAAGCCCAAGGTCTTCCTGGAAGGTCCCTGTGACCTTCATGAGCGTCTGCCCTCCAGCCTCTTGGGCTGCCTCTTCCTCCCTCACCTCTGCTCCACTCCCACTGGCCCTGCTGCCTCTGGCCCATCCACCCCCTCGCCCCCCCACACACCCCGCTCCTGCTGGGACATGCTGGCCTGAATGTTCCTCCCAGCTGGGCTGGGAGCCTTTCGGGCTGGTCCCTGCCACCCCCACAAGGCACCTACCCCATCTGCACGCCCTGCATTGCCTTTCTCTTTGCCATACCCTCCCCCGCTAGCCTCTCCCTTGGGCAGGGCTCTCTGTGTATTCCCCATTGTAGCCCCAGGCCTGCAGGGGCCCTGGCACGTAGTAGGTGCTCATTTGGAGGTCAAATGAGTGAATGATTTGAAAACCTTCACAGCCCCTTTGCTTCCAAGGTAAGTTCCTGTGGTCCCACTCTGCCCTGATGGACCCAACCCTCCATCCCAAGGAAGACAAGCAGAGGAGACTTCTGTCCCTCCTCCCAGAGCCACCTCCCTGGTACCCAGACAGAAGGGAATGGACTGCTCCTCCTTTGCGTGGCTCTCTTTCGGGCGGCGGGACAGGGTGTGTCTTTGTTCTAGCTTTTCTTTTTGTTAATGTCAGGAGCCCCGTTGCATAATGGTTCAGAGCAGGGGCTCTGGAAGGAGACCAACCGTCGGCGGGCCGTGTGACCCCACGCAAGCAAGCCCACCTCTCTGAGCCGGAGTTTCTTCATCTGTAAGTTCAAGCTCACACCTGTCTCCCTCCTGGCCGAATTGGGATGAGTTGGGGGGAGCTCCCAACACAGCATTCCAAGCGCTTCCCCCAAGGTCAACGCTCAACAAATGCTTCGCCATCAGTGTCCTGCCTCAGGACAACTAAGCTGTGGGCAGCCTGAGGAGCACTTGGCAGGCTCTTGGCCTCGGAGCAGGGAGGATGCCCACACTGCCAAGACTTCGGGGGTGTGTGTGGGGGGGGTGTAGGGGGAAGGCGGCCTCGAGGATATCCGCCGAGGTCCTCCAGCGGCCAGGGCTCCCTGCACACCCGGTGCATCTCCCAGGCAGGAAAGGTGGGACTGTCCCGCTCCTTATGTGCACGGCTCCTCTCCTTTCGAGCCGCTGGCCGGGAACCAAGCACCAGGGCCCGGAACAGAGGGACCTTTATGCCGCCCCCTCCCCGCGCGGGCTCCCAGGCCCTGTTTTCTTTTCATCCCGTGCTGCTGGGATTCAATGGGCAGAAACTCTGCCCCCTGCCCCACTGTGGCGACACAAACGTCCATTCTGCGCAGGGGCTCCCGAGCCGCTCCCCCGCGGAGGGGAAAGGCAAGGGCTGCTACAAAGAGCTGATTGTGTGCTGGGGCCCCGGGAGCAAGCAGGGCCTGGACAGCAGCGGACGGGAGCCAGCCTGAGCCCTGCCTGCCGGGCAGCTGGGGGCAGAGGGGCCAGGCTGGGCCCGCGGCCGAGGGTGAGGGGCCTGGGGTGGCGTGGAGACAGGTGGAGGGGCCCGTGCCCGCGCCCACGCCCCCCACCTCACGGCCCTCTGGGAAGGGGGCGTTCTGGAAGAAACGGGGGCTCAGCCTGGCCCTGCGGGGTAAGGAATCCTACGTGCCAGGGGCCAGCCCAGCTCTGTCAGGGAGGGTGGGGCAGACAGCCCCAGCTTACCTTTGAAGGCCGCGAGCTTTTCCACCAGGTTCTCTTCATCACTGTACTTCTGGTCACACAGAAACTCCTTGAAAGGCAAAAGAACAGTGCTGAGCGCGGGGTCAATGGGCAGAGCTCACTGACACGTAGGCCCATCGCCCTGGTGCCTGCTCCCGTGCCAGGTGGCCGGGCTTGGCCAGGCAGGGCAGGAGGCCCCAGTGTTTGCCCTGGCCTCCTGTCAACCCCTCAGAGACAGATCTGCAGTCCACGCCGTGGGCAGGAAGTATGCTCAGCAGCCCGGGGTGCCGCCCGGAGGGCCTGCCCTAAATACCTTCAGTCAGCCTCCGAATTACCAGTGTGGGGAACTGGGCCTGCCCCAGCAGGGCACCCCAGCTCCAAGGTCCACAGAGCCGCGAGCCCCAAAGGCAAGCTGCCTGGTTCTAGCATTAACTCCTTAGGGATGTGACCCCAGCATATGAATTCCTGTCTGCCTCTCGATTGCTTTATCTGACAAATGGGTAGAATTATCATAGCTACTCCTCCAGTTTGTTAAGAGCCGCCAAGGAGCGTGTATGTATGACTCTGGGAAGACAGCAAGTGCTCAATAAACAGCAACTCTTGTATGATTAGCCTCTGCTCTAGCCTTGAGAGGTCACTTACCCTCTCACCTGTAAAACAGGGCTACCGTCCCCTCAAATGATGCCTTTGAGAACCAGGTGGGGGGAGGGGCCTGTGGGGGGGGGTGGGGGACACTAACATCAGCCTCCAGAAGGAAACACCAACCTGCACGATCTCTTGGGATCTCCCAGTGGGTCCAAAAGTTAGTTACTATTATCGCTCCCATTTTACAGATGAGGAAACTGAGGCGCACACAGCCAGAGCTTCAAGTTAATTTCATCTCATGAACAGCCTGCATCCTTCATCCCAACACCCAAAGACGGGCGGATGGCAGGCATTCATCTGGCTTTAAAACAAAACACTACAAATTAGTAAGTACCTGTTTGGCCAGGTAGCTTACTTGCCTTGTTGATCTTCAGACAGCCCTAGAGCCTGCATTCAGGGAAATACTCCTGTCCTCTGGGAAAGCGGAGGCCACGTTCCCATCCTAGCACCAGATTCTGCAAATCCCCTCTCCTCTCTGGCCACCGCTTTCCTCATTACGGAGCAGATCGAACACGGGCATGGGACCTCCACTCATTTAAGGGACCACAGGGTATACAGCTCTGTTCGAGGCACCAAGGGAGCAGGTGAGACCAAGGAAATAAGGTCCTTAATCGTTAAATTACAGGAAGCTCATGTTTAAAATGATGTTAAATGGGACGCCGGGGTGGCTCAGTGGGCTAAGCATCCAACTTCGGCTCAGGTCATGATCTCGCGGTTTATGAGTTCAAGCCCCGCATCAGGCTCCCTGCTGTCAGCAGAGAGCCGGCTTTGGATCCTCTGTCCCTCTCTCTCTCTGTCCCTCCCCGACTCGTTCCCTCCCTCCCTCTCTCTCTCTCTCAGAATAAATAAACTTAAAAAATAAATAAAATCATGTTAAATATTATCTAGATCAATCACTCAATCTGTTTCTAAATTCCCGCTGTCATGCCCCACTAACTGATGACAAAGTCTGTACTTGTACGTCAGGGCTCAGGCAACAAGTATACCTAAGCACGAGGCAGAATATGATCCCTTCCAGGGTTCAAGTTCCTCCAAATTAACTCAGCCCCCTTTGACAGGGAAGGAGACACCCACCTGCCAGTGCGGCTCCCCTCGTTGGTTCTGGGGGCTGTCCTACCCCTTGAGCTCAATTTGCTTGGATCCAGATCCCTGAACGGGCTCTGGCGGGTGCAGGATTTCTGCTTTGGACAGGCACTGTGCTATCTCACTGAGGCGGGAGCAGCAGGGCCAGAGAGGTTAAATCACATGTCTGAAGTCCCTGCAGGTTTGGTTTGGAACCTGAGTCTGTTGGACCCCAGGGTCTGTCTCTGCCTCCAGCAGCCTCACAGAGGGCAACCCCAGGGCCCCTGGTATGGCTTGGCCACAGCTTCACATTGGACCTCGGTACCATGTGCCACGCACGGTCTTGCCCCCACTTAGCTGGAGCTATGACTGTCTCTTGCAGCCTGGGAGGCTGCCCCCCACCCCCACCCCCGGCTGGCTCGGTCCAGGACTTCTCTTCCTCTTGGCTCCCTCTCCTAGCTCTTTTCCACTGCTCTTTTCTCCAGTCCCATTCTCTGCCCCAAAGTAGGACAATTACCTCTTGTCTGTGACCCTGGACACACCAGGCACCTCCCAGGGTCACAGGTCCTATTATCTGCACAGCAGAGGGACAAATAGGTCCGTGGTTCCCAGACTTGGGGATAACGCAGAAGAAAACATTTCCCAAAAAAAAAGTTAAAAATAAGGGGAGGTGCTAACATAGACCTGCCAAGGTTTTATTTTGCCAAGTAGAGACTTTAAACAATCACCACTGACTGTTGCCGTGACTTCAGCAAAGGACATTTCGTAAAAGTAGGAAGTTCATAATCTCAGAATTTTTAAATGGTACCCATTTAGCTGACGTTCGGTTCACTGCCTGGCCCCTGTGTTCCCTCCGCTTTGCCATTTCAGGAACTGGAAAACCCTCGTGGGGAGGCAGAAGGGCACGGGCAACGCCCAACATCCGGGAGCCCCTGGCGAGAGACCTGGGGGCCCTCCCCGCTCCCGCATTCTGGTCCACCAGAAATCCTGCGCCAGCCAGAGCCTGTCCGTAACATGTACCAACCCCCTCTAGGGATCCAGGCAAACTGAGCTCAAGGCTCGGACGCGGTCCCTGGTCTTGGAGACAAATCGCACACCGACGAACCCAGGACCAGCAGGGAGCGTTTCTCGTTCACGGGGCCTGACCCGGAGCCGGCAGGTGCAGCAGCCCTGGGCGTCCAGATTATTGTCTCGGTGATAGAGTCAGTTTTCTCCTTAGTGCTTATGACCGCGTGACAGGCTGTCCAACTGGTTCTCCCCCTCT